ATTCAGAACGAAACGACGAACTGGAAACACAGAGAGGAATTTAACAAGAACAAAACACAAACGAACAAACAAACCACTTCACTGATAAATCTTCATGAAAATGATGATTCAGAATGAAACTCAAGTGTTTAACATGAACTTTTATTTAAAAAGGAATTCAGTTTTATTCAGAAATGAATTATTTTTATTCAGAATTTAAATATTTTTATTCAGCGTTAAATCTCTCATGTAAACGTGGTGACTGTTTATCATGGACACTGTTTGTTTGCTCAGAGGCACAGGGGCAGTACAGTGGAGTGTGTAGAAGTGTGTTGCTCGTGGGCACGCGGGCAGTACCTTCAGTCCCTGACAAAAGTCTTGTCTGTTATCCATTTTGTAGAAACAAAAGTTTATAACTTGACTTTAAATGAATCGATTGGTTTTAGAAATGTCTCATATGAAGATAAAAACCTCCCAAATTATGATCAATAAACTCAAATAAATGTTCTTCACTGAAGAAACATTGATCATTTAATGAACACAGATTTTGACAAGACAAAAGTCTTGTGGTCTTGTCATATGATGCACCAGTCCTAGATTACAGCCTCACCTGTGATCAGTTACTGATCAATCAGTTAGTGTTTGTGTATAAAAAGAACCCAGCAGAACCAGACCTTCACATCAACTGCAACTTGACCTCTGACAACATGCCTCAGATCCACCCTGAGACCAAAGCCTTAATTATCAAGAGGCTGAAGACCAGATCCACTGCTGAGGTGGTGACACCTTCAATGTGTCTCAGCGTCAAGTACAAAGAAGAAGAAAAAGATCTGAAATGACTGGAGATGTTTTTGACAAGCCCAGGTCCAGCAGACGCCGCAAGACAACTGCTCTGGAGGAAAATCCAAGGCCCCTTTTCCACTGCAGCAGACTCCACCAGGCCTGGTCACCTCAAGTCCCTGTGTCAACCACAACAGTTTGTAGAATCTGTCTGGAAATGGCCTCCATGGTCGAATCAGTGCACAGAAACCAGCACTAAACAAAAGGCAATTAAAAAAACCATGTGGCATTTGCCAAGGCCCACAGCCTGATAAAAGGATGGACACTGGAAAAGTGGCAGAAGGTGGATTTCTCAGATGAATCCTCGGTTGAATTACATCACAGCCGCCGCAAATATTGCAGGAGACCAACTGGAGCCACATGGATCCAAGATTCACCCAGAAAACAGTTAAGTTTGGTGGAGGAAAAATCCTGGTCTGTGGTTCCATCCAGTCTGGGGGTGTGTGAGACATTTGCAGGGTGGAAGGCAAATATCAATAACCTAAAATATCAAGAAGTATTAACTCCTCTTACATTCCCAACCATAAAAGGGTCAGATTTTGCAGCAGGATGGTGCTCCATCACATACTTCTATCTCTACATCAAAGTTTGTCAAGGTGAAGAAGATCAAGGTGCTGCAGGACTGACCAGCCCAGTCACCAGACATGAACATCACTGAGCAGGTCTGGGGTAGAATGAAAGAGGAAACATGAAGACAAAACCAAAGACTCTTGATGAACTCTGGGAGGCTGTAAGACGCTTTCTTTACTATTCCTGATGACTTCAACAACAAACTGTATGAATCATTGTGGAACCACATGGATGTGTCCTTTCAAACTCATGGAGTCACACAAGATATTAAATCTGGATCTCACAGCACCACTACTTCATTCACTGACGTTATGCAACATGTTTTTGTATTTGAAGTAAATTATTTGTTCAATTTTCTGTAGGCGACAAAACTTTTGTCTGTCAAAATCTGACCTTTCTGTGTTCATTAAATGATCAATGTTTCTTCAGTGAAGAACATTTATTTGAGTTTATTGATCATAATTTGGGAGGTTTTTAGCTTCATATGAGACATTTCTAAAACCAATCGATTCATTTAAAGTCAAGTTATAAACTTTTGTTTCTACAAAATGGATCAACGACAAGACTTTTGTCAGGGACTGTTGATGGAGTGTGTTGGAGTGTGTTGCTCGTGGGCACGCGGGCAGTAGGAGTGTGTTGCTGGTGGGCAGTGTGTTGCGGGGCGGGAGTAGGAGTGTGTTGGAGTGTGTTGGAGTGTGTTGCTCGTGGGCACGCGGGCAGTAGGAGTGTGTTGCTGGTGGGCACGCGGGCAGTAGGAGTGTGTTGGAGTGTTGGAGTGCGTTGCTGGTGGGCACGCGGGCAGTAGTGTGTTGGAGTGCGTTGCTGGTGGGCACGCGGGCAGTAGGAGTGTGTTGAGTGTGTTGGAGTGTGTTGGAGTGCGTTGCTGGTGGCACGCGGGCAGTAGGAGTGTGTTGGAGTGCGTTGCTTGGTGGGCAGTAAGGAGTGTGTTGGAGTGCGTTGCTGGTGGGCACGCGGGCAGTAGGAGTGTGTTGGAGTGTGTTGGAGTGCGTTGCTGGTGGGCACGCGGGCAGTAGGAGTGTGTTGGAGTGCGTTGCTGGTGGCACGCGGCAGGAGTAGGAGTGTGTGGAGTGTGTTGGAGTGGCGTTGCTGG